GAGAGAGAGGATGATGATGATAGGGGCGGGGGTTAGTCGTTATTTAATCTCTTTCATTTTTTCCGGTGATCTCTTCTAAAAAGAAAAAAAAAGAATACCTAGAAAAGAACGCTATAGTGGGTTCATTTTTCTGTGGATATTCCAAAGGTAGTGACATATATATATATATATATATATATATATATATATATATATATATAGATAGATAGATAGATAGATAGAGAGAGAGAGAGAGGGTTGAGAGGTTTTAGTCATTAGTTATTCTCGTTCTTTTTTCTTTTTTTTTTTTAAGCTAACCAAGTGCCCTCTTATTTTGCGAGCTCACTTTTGCAGACTGTTGTTAGATGAAGCTGTCTTCCCACACCATTTACTGCTAATTGTTTGCCACAATTCCATATATTACCATTTCCTTCATCAAACTTGCTACCTCTTAGGAAAAGGGTCAAAATGGATCCTCGGAATGACGTGGTTCTGTTCTGAAGATCAGCGTGGGCTTAGCTTCCAACGGTCCGTGTCTTTTGTTCAGCTGATGCACCTGCTGCCTTTGTTAATGCGCAAAAATACAAAAAAATGCAGTCCTAATGCGCAGACAGGAAGTGAGGAAAGACAGTTGACACGTACTTATCTAAAGCTGATTCCCGTACAAAATTTCCCTATGCAAAAACAAGAAAAGATAAAGCGATCAATATGGTGCACGCGCGCACATACACACACACGCGCGCACACACACACATACACACACACACACACACACATACAAACCACACACACAGCATACACACACAACACACACACACACACAACACACGCACACACACACCACATACACACACATGGAAAGATAAAGTGAAGAATATGATATACACACAAACCATTTTCAATTATATTTACATGCGTGCATGTGCGTATATGTGTATGTCTTGTATAGATGCTTCTGTCTTTCTCTCTCTTTCTCTCTCTCTCTCTCTCTATATATATATATATATATATATATTAATAAGTATATGTACGTATTTGCGTGTACATATAGGTGAAAGTGTATTTGTACCTGCGTGCACAAATGTGTATATGTCTGCGTATGTGTATTTTTGTATGAGTGCTTGCGTGAAAGTGTACATATGTGTATATGGATGAAAACGCTTGTATGTCTGCATGTGTTAATATATATGTATATCTTTGTGTCTGCGTATATGCATGCACACATGAAGATGCTTGTATGTGCGTATGTTAATATGTGTGCATATGTACGTGCGAGAGTATATATATATACATATGTGTGTGTGTGTGTGTGTGTGTGTGTGTGGTGTGTTCGAAGGTGTACATTCTTGGGTTTCTGTGTGGTGTAATGGTGAATAAATACAATTATTTCTTTATACTTTGTATGTACATCAGGATATTTGGCCTTCGATTAACCAATAACCAAAACGGGCACGTGCTTGAACAACAAGGAGAGGAGAAAACCGTTGTACTTGTTTTTTGTTCTTTTTTTTATTTTTTAAACCTAGCTATCATATCTACCTTGATTCATTCACTGACACCTAAGTTGGCGAATTAAAAAAAATGTCTTTATCGCGAGTTCAACGTGATTTTGCCTTGTCAAAATTTTCTTTCTTTATCTTTTTTTTATTTTTTATTTTTTGCAAGTGACTGGAGTTTAGAGAAGTTAAAGGTGTTGTCAGATATCACATTTGTTTCCATCTGATGGCGTCAGAGTTTCGCTTCCGTCAAGGATAGAAAAAAAAAATTTTAATACGGTTGTGGGGGTCAGGCCTGGAACAAAACTGGAAAATATCTGATAAGAGTTAAAACCGCTTGTGCTTAGGGCATCCCTTGACCTTAATCCGGTCTCTGGGTACAGCCTACACACATGTTAGATATTCCTTACACATAGTAAAAAAAACCCAAAAAACATTGTCTTCTACTTATCCCAGTTTATACATACTCCCGGACACACATATTCACTATTTCAAATTTTATTATTCAAGTCAATGACTTCATGATAGAACTGATATTCAACAAGCAATGTTAGGTGAAATTTTCAAGATACATTAACGTTAAATATTATGTTTCAACTGGGCCTAAAGTGGGGGATCGGTTTTCTATTCTTATCAGATAATGAACTGATCCCCTAATTGCTACGCTTTGGATTATTTTATTAGTAGTTAATGCCTGCATAATATAATTGCTATTAAACAACCGATGTTCGAAAAAGTTACTTGATATATTTACGCTAATTTTCTAAGCGTAACACAGATGTGACACAAGGCCGAATGTACAGGGCACCAAGTAAGGATCGAACTCACTACTCGTAATTGTTCTAATTAGTGAAGTGTGTGAACCATTACCCCACATATATTTAATGTTTCAACTGGATATAAAGTGGGGGATCAGTTTCCTATTATCATTAAATAATGAATAGATCCCCTCTAGAATTACTATACTACGGTATATTTTATTATGTAAGTCAATGTCTTTATAATATAATTGTTATTAAACAACCAATGTTGGAAAATAATACATAATCTATTTATGTTTAATATAAGTTTGGGTAGAAAGTGGGGATCGGCTTTCATTTGTTATTAAGTACTAGCTTAAAAGCCGCCCTATCGAGTGGCATTTAAGCTAACTCCCGTGGAGGACTCTTGGGTTGGCCATCATCACAATAGCTAGGGAGGAGTAGATGCGATAGACATCAATAAAATACAGAAAAACTCCAAAATGATCGCTGCATTTAAATATTGAATTAATATTTAAACTTGCCTTTTAAAAGTTCAATGATAATTCTTCTGCTGCCACTTAATTTAAAGATGATTTTTTGTATGTAGATCCTTATTTTCCGTACAAACAATTATTTTTATTTCATGGGTGACAGAACAGAGGACAATTCATAAGATAAAATTAATATAATGTAAAGATGGGAAAATAGAAATTAGAATTAGTTATACATTCAACATTCACACACACATGCAATGTACTTTATATATAAGATTAATTGATCCCTGCTAGAATTACTATAGTATGTTACATTTTATTACGTAAGTCATAATAAAATTGATATTAACCAATGTTGGTAACATTTACAAGATATACTTATATAGAAGATTTTTTTTAATATACAGAACAATGTTAGAAAAATTAATGTCAAAATGCAATTTTTTTTGTGATGCATTTTGTCCTTTACGACTTCATCAGACCAAAGTGATGTTCCTGTTCTTGTCACAACATTTGCACACGAAGGTTGGAGGATTATAAAACCGTAGATGTCGGTTTTAATGAGGCAGAGATAGGAAACCCAGCAGTTTAAATGTTGCCATAGCTCGTCCTAAGCCCAATCGAGAAATTAGAAGTATTTGTAACCGGGACGGTCGGGTAAAAACCTACCATTACATGAGAAATCATTAATTTTCAAGAAACAGCCTGCGTATGGCCCAAAATAGAAACAAATATTGCCATTTATGCCTTCCCATATAAAAGGATCTATGTAAAAAAATATAAGTTGTCTTTCTTCAAAGACGACTATTCTTTTTTACTCCAGTGATCACTTTACATTTGTAATGCAGCTGCCTGTCTTGTCTCCTGTAAAAGATATTTTCGGAATGATAGCAACACCCAATATTCTACTCGATATACAGACTGAAGCAGATTGATGTCGATGAATAGGAGGAAATCTTTTGTGATGTCAACGAACACTCGTTGCTACTTTTGAAATGTCAAAGAATACTCCTTTCTTTTTCTTTTTTAACATATCACCCCAAACAAGGCGGGAGTGCCACTAGCATGCAAGGGGGTTACAGAGGATTGAGAGTAAGAGTAAAGAGGCATGTTTGGGAACAGGATAAAGGGAAAGACAGAGATGAAGGTCAAGGTATCAGAAGATGTCGATTGACATTACATTTGAATATTTTGAAGATTATAGTTATCAAGGAAGCAAGTGATAGGAAGGGAGATCCACTGAGGCGAGGTGTGAGATAAGAAGCTTTTGAAGTAGAAGAGCTGGCTACATTTAGCCGTTTCGACGGTGAAGTGGTGGGACCGAGATACCAACCTAGTAGCACGTTTAAATTCATGCCGTTTGGGAACCAGTGAAAGTAGCACGTCAGAGCAGTTACCATGAAAATACTTATAGAAAAGACAGAGGGAAGCAACAGCACGTCTGTGAGAGAGTGACTGTAGGCGGGATCCTAGATCAGGAACAACCACGTTGCATATCCGTCTCTGGATTTTGTCGAGGACCTCGAGATGATTCTACATTATGTTTTCCTGTACGCAAAGGTAACAAACTTGCTGCTAAACCAATTACGGTTTTCTATTGTTGTTTTCTGATAACTCAGTTACAACAGAAGGTGTCTATAATTTTATTTACCTATAATACCAGCCCAAAACATTACACCGCCTTTCAACTCTTGAAGTTATTTTGGATGATCCAACCTCTATCCCAGCTGTCATATCCATCCAATGCAATTCTACATCAGTAGAAACTAAATCAGTTTTCATGTACTTCTTCAACCAAATACCTACTTAAATGTGACAATTTTGCTAATTTCATGTGGTTGATCAATGTTCTTAATATTCTGTATCTCTTTATTCTGTTTACATTCGCAACACCAATTTAAAATGTTTGTCTTCGCTATGACTATCAACTTCCTTTGCTAATTATTAAATTACAATTTTTCTCAAATATCTTTTTGTGTCATTTGTTCTTGCTTTCATCTGGCCAATGTTTTCAATTCCTTTTGCGATCTCTGTTCAACTCTTTGACACATGCTGTCTGAATTTCTGGAATTAGGAGGTATCATTATTTACACTATTTACATTGGGACTATTCTCATCGGCTTTGTTGTTGTTATCAGAACGGCTCAGCCGTTGTGACCTCCGGCCTTCCTCAGGTGTATATGGGTCGTGGTAATCTTTTATTTAATCTACGGGAGTAGACTGTTCTCGTTCCATTAGAGATATCGCGACTATTTTTAATACTGTTCAGTTATTGTTCACCCTGTTGCTTACGGCCATGTCACGTTGAAACACCGATTCTCGTGCGATCATCTAAGTTAAGCAACATTGAGCCTGGTCAGTACCTAGCCGGGTGACCGCTTGGTAATACCAGGTGCTGTAAGATTCGATATGTTGGTTATGTAATGGACAACGGCTCGTAGCCGAGTTCCAATTCCAGTCGGGTTCATTATATGCACTTATCTGTAAATGCCTTTGTGGAAGTGATTGGAATTTCGAATCGAAACCTTTATTTCGTACACAGAGATAGATTGTTCTAGTTCTACGTGCCATTCCTCTTCCGGATGCCTCAGTTATTTCCCTTTAACTCAACTCTCCAAGTTTTGGGTTCACCACAGCTGTAACCTGGTATTGAACTCACAACACGTTGGGTCTAGTCACTGGATCTAACCAACGTCATTATCCACTGGGCCATGTGCCCTCGTGGAACAGTCCGAATAATGTAAATAATCTTGAGGACATGTAGCCTCAAGAACACATGGCCCAGTGGATAAAGCCGTTGGTTAGATCCAGTGACTAGACACAAAGAGTTGTGAGTTCAATACCAAGTTACAGCTGTGGTGAACCCAAAATTTGGAGAGTTGAGTTAAAGGGAAATATCATGAACAATCTACCCCGGTGGACGAAATAAAGGATTCTGCTCGAAATGCTAGTCACCTGAAGAAGGCCGGAGTGTACAAGGACCGAAAAGTTGTGAATATAGCAATGAAGATGAGGATAACTGTCCAAATAAAGTAAATAATGTAAATAATCATAATACCTCATCTAAGAGATATACACAGACACCCCACTTCCTGGGAAAGTTAAAAATACAGCTCTTCCCCATAGATATGGGTTAATTAGAACTTGGATTTACAATTTATCGTCATTTCCAAAAATTCTATGTAAAAATATTTTCTGGCTTTGGATAGCCAGCAAAAGGATGATAAGCCATAGAAAATGAATGAATCTTTGGTGTTTCCACCGCCCGAACAAGGGATTGAACATAGAACCAACGCTTTAATCCATTAGGCTATTGGCTCGAAATAACAGTTCACAAACTTGGGTCCCGTTTGCTCAAATTACGCTATCTTGTTTCGCCTTTGAAGTGACGTTTTTCTTTCGACACTTTCTCATTTTTATATATCTGAAATTAAAAAGTAAATATCGATACTTCTGTTATTATCTATGTTTATTTACCAGTCATTTTATGTTTACCAGTCATTTTATGTTTATTTACCAGTCAGTTTATGTTTATTTGGCGGACATTTTATGTTTATTTACCAGTCATTTTATGTTTATTTACCAGTTATTTTATGTTTACCAGTCATTTTATGTTTATTTGGCAGACATTTTATGTTTATTTACCAGACATTTTATGTTTACCAGACATTTTATGTTTATTTGCTAGTCATTTTATGTTTATTTACCAGTCATTTTATGTTTACCAGTCATTTTATGTTTACCAGTCATTTTATGTTTATTTACCAGTCATTTTATGTTTATTTAGCGGATATTTTATGTTTACTAGAAATTTTATGTTTATTTACCAGACATTTTATAACGGATGAAAAAAAAGCAGCTGAGATTTTGCTTTCGACGTTGTCGTCCCGCGTTTATTGTAGAATGAGAACTGTGCGCTCTTGTAAAAATAATTAAAAAATATATATTTTTTTATTTCGATTATTTTTTTTGTTTTCTTATATTAAACGTCCCTCCCATTTTATTATGCTATCTGACAATGTCAGAGAAACGACATTCTGGATTGAACCTTCTCGCCAATGATATATAATTATTTTTGATCCTGTTAGAGATAGCGCGACCTCTGATAAAACGACGTATCACATATATTTATTTTTTCAGTTTTCGATTTTTAAGTAACGTAGTAAAAATTTGTTTTCGTGTCTACAATTTAAGATGAGTTCTGATCGTTTATTTTTTCGTAGTTTGTTTTGATTTGGAAAGTAACTATAGCTATTTTTTCCTCCAAGCAGAGTTTGCAGTTTTTGGATTGATTGTTGTAGGCTGATGTTCTTTTCTTTATTTTCCATGATATTTTTGGTGTAATTTTCTTTTTGTTTATAATTTCCCAAATATATTTAGAAAGCATTGTGCTGTCCGTGTATTTACTATTTGTGACAGATGTTTTGTGTGCATAGTTTTTTTGTTTCCAGGGTCCTTCAGTTACTCTTATGTATACTTTTTCTTCGGTATCTGCTGATTTTACTCTGGCTCGGTATATTACATTGTTTTTTAAGGCCGTTTAATTGCCGTTTAAGGGACATTCGTCCTGTATTCTGCAGATAAACTTGGGGTTAATTTGTTCGGATGGTTCATTGATAGTTTTCATGTGCTTTTTTAATATTTGTGTCATGTTTTCGGTGCAACTATAGCTGATTTTTACTGAGTTTTATTGCATATTTTGTGGAGAGTGCTTGATTCGGGGAAATGTTTGTGTAAGAGTTCGATGAATATTTTTCCTACATTTGTTTTTACGTTTTTGTTGTACGGTGGGTTGGACCATATAATGTTTCTCTCCCTCCTGTTTTTTTGTCCTCTGTGGTGTGTATATGATTGTTGCCGGGGAGGGCCTTTTCATAGTTTAACTTAGCTTCGTTGAATATGGTTGCATTGAAAGAATTGTCGGAAAGACAGCGGTTAATTGATTTTGGCATCTGCTTGCTTATAGATGGTGGGTAATTGAAATATGTCTGTATATACAGTGTTTTATCATTGGGTTTTCTGTATGGTTTATATGTGCCTTTTCTTAGGTTGAAGGTAACATCTAGAAAATCTACTTCGTTTAGGTCAGTTTTTTATGTCTGTCGAATCCCATATTTTTGAAAATCTTTATTATTGCTTTTCCATCTACATTCAACACCATCACTTGATAAGACACCAGAAGTATTGGAACAAAATGGCTATTTTTGTAGTGATTTTATAACATATTTATGTTATAATTTTCGAATAAATTATATTTGCTTTACTCTGTATTGAGCACTCTAATAAGAATAGTATTTTTGGTTACTGGAATTTATTCCATATACTCCTATCCTATATATATATATATATATATATATATATATATATATATATATATGTGTAAGTGAACATAGAAGTCAACATTTAGAGGCGACAGTCTGTTTCATGCTAGACGTAAGCGTCAGACGATTGCATCCAGCATAAAACAGACTGTCGCCTCTAAGTGTTGAACTTCTATGTTCACTTTTATATTTACACACGCTCTATCTCTGATATTGAGCACTTTATCCCATAAATATAGCACATCTTAAGACTATATTTCTTCATATATATATATATATATATATAATTGAGTCGTTTCTTGTAGCCTTCCCCACGGTTTAGCATTCAGTTTTCCTTCTCTTACATTGGTTGACAGACAAGGCTATAGAATCCAGTCTATCCTGTTATTTAAGCCTTTGCTGGAGGGAGACGAGAAAGATTAAAGCTTTTCCAATTGCATTTGTGCAAAACTGAACGCAGCTGACAAGGCCAGAATTTGAACTTTGTTCGCCGATTTCACATTAGTTATACTACCTCTATATTCTGTACATATGTATCATGTTCTGATAGGATGATTGAGTTCATACATTCATACTTTGAAAGTATTTTCGTACCTTGATACTTATAAAATTATATTTTCTTACTTTGAGATAAAATGTAGTCATGAATCTTAGGATCGAAGTTGAAAAAAAGGCCATTTCGATTTGGCAGCAAAAAAAAAAACAGAAAGAATTAGGAGAAAAGAGTCAGCAGATTCCTAGTAGAAGTTTAATTTAGTAAGATTTTTTTTTACTAATTCCTATGCAACCTTTTCAGGGTTTAACTAATTCAATAGAATTTACGTGCTTTCGAGGAACTTTGATCTCATTGTTTAAACTTTCTTCCTCGAAAATGAAGGAACGTCTTTCAAGGTCAAGACAAGAAAACGCTGCAGAGAAAAAAATGTTTACATAAAGGAATGCACTAACATTGTCTTCGCTAACGCTTGTACGACGCGAAATCTGTTGTGATGATTATTCCCCATGTTACCGAGTGTGCCGTTGCGAGCATAAATTTACTGGAGGAAATTATTGCTCAGAACAAAAGTTGGTAATGTTTTTTGTCAATCTTCTTATATGAGAGTGTACGCTGAACAATCTCCTCCCAGATGAAGAGAAGACTGGGGAGGGGGCAACAGAAATGTGATTCTACAGAAGGTTTGGTTTCGTTTGGGTTGTATAACGGCATATGACCCTCAGTGTGTTATTTAATGCTGACAAGATTTTTACTGCTCGTAATATTTTTTCTTCAAAAATTTGTTGCTGGTAATAATTTTTAACAAAGCATTTCTGGTATTAAATGTTGTTCATGATGACGGTCGTCTTTAAGTATAGAATCCAGAGGTTAGCAGTGAATATTTCGAAGACAGTAGGGAAGCGTAGTTCAGGTTAGCAGTGGATATCCCGGTAATGTAGCAGAGCGTAGTTCTTCCTTCTGCTCCTCTTCGCCTGACAAGTTGGCACTGGACATTCGGATAGAGTAAACAAAATGGCCACCTTTATACACGACGGATTGAATATTCTACGTCTTCTGATTGGTTAACCTTCTATTGGTGAACTATAAAGTGAGTCAAGTCATTTGGGCTAACTCACTAGTAAACATAATACCCCAAAAACTGCAACATTAAAACCTATTTTTACACTTTCATAGTGTTTTGACCCCGCTTTTGGAGTGAACTATTTTCCCATAGCTGGGACCCTAACAGGTGCTACCACCCTGGGTTAGAGTGGACCTGGGAACACCGGCAGTTAAGAGGTGGTTCCACACTCCTCAAAACCTCCTTATCAGGCCTTTGTGTTGGATGTAGTTTATCGTCTTACCAGGACTCGAATGTAGTTTATCGTCATACCCAGGGCGGTCTACAGAAGAATGCTGAGAATTAAATGGACGGGGTGCTAAAGCAAAAAAGAAGTCTCAAGCAAAAAAAGACATTCAGAATGAAAAGGAGAAAGCTGAAATTTCTTGGACACATCACGAGAAAAGAGTGCTTGTAAAATTCGATACTGACAATACATATCGACGGCAAAAGGACAGAGGAAGATAGTAAGCCACCTACTTGAC